CCCCCCCCCCTCCCAACCCAATCAGTTGCAGCGGGGGCATTCCCCACCCCTTTGTGATGTGTAGCTGTAGGGAATGCGCCTTTCTGTAACTGACTGGGCAAGCAGGAGGGGGTATCAGTCTGGGTTCACATAACTAGTGGCAGAGGGTTAAAAAGGATCATCTCTACTTGCCCCCAACTCTCGGAGACCCTTTAACACAGGGTGGGCAAATCCAGCCCTCCAGCAGTACTGATGCCTGTAGTGCAAGTGTTGCAATGCCTTATGGGACCTGTGGTTCCTCAACAGCTGGTGGGCCAGAGTTGCCCACCCCTGCTTTAAGAGAATCTTAACGCTGGGAGTCATTGGTGGGCTTACCTGTCATGTGACTGCTGTTAATGGCTGTCACCTCAGTCACATGATCAAGAACCTGTCCCACCAACTCTCAAACATAAACATTGACAGCTCAGTCACTGTACTGGGGTGAGCGCGCTCTCAGAACATCGGGTTGGTGGACACAAGTATGCGGGTGACACACCACCGGTGGGAAAGTGTTAACAGACCAACAGAGTGCAATATTAGGGTTCACATACACTTCAGCCCCCGACACAAATGAAGAGAAAGATAATAACATTAGATGATGAGAGTTGTAGTGTTTCCAGTATAAAAATCACTTTCCAGATCATTTTTAACTGCCAAAAGAAATAACCCCACCAAGGGGCACTCCCCGCATCCCTCTCCCCTATTCATGTATGTGACAAGACCTATCACTATATAGACACACGTGCACTCCATCTGTCCTTTTATTCCATGAATACAGCCATTCCTATACTAAGCATGCATGTCATATAAAGAACGGCCCTCACTCGGCTCTCTGCTCGGCCACACGACTTTCTTCTCTTTGCTTTCCGCTAATATCTTCCCTTTCACCACCGGTTCCTTTGCTCCGCTGCCGAGCCCCCTTTGACGCCATTGCTGTCGTGGGCAACACAACTCACTTCCGGGTGACAGGAATCCTTGGAAAGCAGCCGGCCGCCATCTTTCCTTCTGGCAGAACAGCGCATGCGCGTACGACTGGGTTTTTCTCTGCCGTGTAATAAAGCTTGGAGTGCTGAATAGCTTTCTAACACAAGTCGTAACCGGTTTTATTGCTTGTTAATGTTTCCTTTTTATTAATAAAGAGTATTTTGTATAGGTGTGGCTTTATTATCTTTAAACTCTTTTTTTTTTTTAATCTTTGCTCTCCACTTTGCCCAAAGCACACCTCCAAGTACCGCACAGCTATCACCCTTTATAAATTAGCTGCATAGTAAGGGGCGACAATAAATGCCATAATCTTTGTGAATTACTTTTTACATACAAAATTAGCCCAGATTCACACCGTTGCTTTGCAGTAACGTGTGTGAGGATGTTAAGCGTTGAAACAAACATTTTCACCAGCACACCAACAATATTGCAGTCCAAAGTGTTCGTTTATTGGAACGTCATGTCACCAAAACTAGCACTTTCGGGGCCACGTCATTGCTGAGTCTGATGAAGGGGACCCTGTGAGGCCCCGAAAGTGCTAGTTTTGGTGACATGACGTTCCAATAAACGAACACTTTGGACTGCAATATTGTTGGTGTGCTGGTGACATCAATTCATTTTTGTAACATGTTAAGCGTGTCGGTGCAATGGGGTGCCATTTATTTTGAGCGGCACCTAACGGACCTCTTCCGTTGCAGCACACAGGAACACAGTACCATGCATTGCGGTGCACTACAGTACTATAAATAGAGGAAATATGTCACAAGCACAGCATAGATCTTTATTAAAGTCAAAACGTTTATCAGAGATTACATCACAATGCAAACATTGCACCATTTCAGGGCCACTCAGGAGCAAGAAAGAAAGGTGCATGCACTATTTACAGCAGTGATAGGCAAACTTCAGTCCTCCAGCTCAAGTGAAACAACTACACATCCCAACATGAATCTGCCTCTGGGAGTCATGCTTATGCCTGTCAGAGTCTTGCAATGCCTGATGGCATTTGTACTTGTGCCACAGCTGGAGGGCTGGAGTTTGCCCCTGATTTACAGCAATGCTTCTTCTATCCCCATCACACGCCTTACTGGAAAGAATCTGGCGTCTAAGGTACTGTAGCAACTGCCGACTGGTTAATGGGTATGATGCATAGAGAAAATATGCTGCCAGCACACAATAGATCTTGGTTATAAAGACCAAACTTTCATCAGAGAGATCACATCACAGTGCAAATATTGCAACGCTTTCTTCAGTCATCATATAGCTGACGAATGAGTCCTGCCTGGCCCTGAAATGTAGCAATATTTGCACTACAAGCTTGGCCTGTATGACAAAGATCCATGGAGTGCTGGCAATAAAATTCCTCCAGGCTTCATACCCATTAACCAGCCAACAATTGCTACAGCACCTCCTATACTTGAATTGCTCAGGTTTATGTACTACAATTTCAGAAGAGTATAATTAATCTATTAATCTATCCTATTTAAGAAGCAGTTACATA